ACTGTGAAGTCTCCAGCATCCTGGAGTTGGAGGCAGTTGCTCCTGGAGGCACTTCAGGATATTGACTGCTCCTGTGGTGTTGAGGCTATGACAATGATAGTGGAACTCTGTTCTCTCTTTTCGTTTTTTTTCTGGACTGTTGGCTGGGTGTTGAGCCCCGCCTTTCTCGAGGAGTGAAGGTACCATCATAAGTACATAGCCTTGGTAGCTGGACTCCCATGAGTGTCCCTTGAGACTCATGGGAGCCTAAATATGGTGAGCCAGTGGTACCCTTCCCACAGGTGCTGGGATGGTGAGCACAGGTGTTTTCCCTCCCTACCATCTCTGCTCCCACTATTCCCTACTAGCGTATATATTTGGGGAAGGGAGTAACTTAAAAACGTTCCCTTTTAAGTGGGGTGCGGTGGCTTAGGCGTCTCATCCCAGCTACAAAAGGACCGTGGTTCAGCCTGACCTGGGCACAAATATGAACATGATTCAAAATGACCAACGCATGCTGGTCACCAGTGGTCATGGACTCAAGGTTAAGCCTGGCAACTGCTACTGAGAGCAAATGTTGGTTGTGGTGGGATGTGCCTGTCACCAGCTAAGGAGGCTGAGATAGGAAGGCTCATGAGAGGTGGGTAGTGAGGGAGATTGTGAGAGTCCATCTCAATGGAAAAAAGCTGGGCGTGTAATAAGGCCTGTCATCCCTGCTGCTATGGGGCGTGTTAAGTTGGAGGATTGCAGTCCTGGCTGTCTGGACACAGTGAGGCCTTATCTCCAAAACCAGAGCAAAAAGGGCTGCAAGCATGCTCATGCAGCAGAACACCCACCTAGCAAATGGAAGACATGGTTCACTACTCCCCAAACAAATTAAGCAACAAGGGCTACTGGTGTGCAGAGTGGTAAGGGGCCTGCCTAGTGAGCCTGATACACTCCCTTCAAACCCCAGTACCACCAAAACAAGTTTTTCCTTACCTTCTAACTTACTCAAAATCCAGAGATCCACCAAAGTTAGCACACCTACATGTTATAAAAATTTCAAGCATATGTAAGGTTAGAAAACGAGTTTAAAGGACTGCCATGTGCAAATCATGCCAATCTCATCTAACACACACACACACACACACACACACACGTGCACACAATGTTGTAATAACAGCTTCATGAAGATATAATTCAGTTACAATAAAATTCACCATTTTCTGAGCATCACCTGAACCATAAATTTGAAAATGCAAAGGACAACATAGAAATATGTCATCTTAAAAAAAATCGCTTTATTTATGTATTTTTTTGAAAAAGAGTCTTGGTATGTAGCCCCTGCTGTTGTCAAATTTGCATCTCCTTGCTGGCCTCTTGACTGCTGGGATATAGGTGAACATCACAACACCCAGTAAAAATTTACCCTTCTCAAAGGCAAATTGTGTGGTGTTTAGCATATTCACACAGTAGGCATCACCACTGTCTAGTTTTAGAACATTTTCATCACTCCAACATGTAACCTCATACTCACTAATGCTTTCTTTTTACTGTCCTTTCCCCATCTTTGTTCACCCCCAGGTACTCTCTGCTCTATGCAATGTCTATTCTAGAGGTTCATGGAAGTGGAACCATGTAACAGTGTGGTTCGGTGACTAACGTCTCTCCCTTAACATGTTTTCCAGCTTCATCCACGTAGCAGGGGTGACTGCTTTCCATTTTATGATGGAGCAATATTCCATTGTGTGGACATGCTACATATGTTGATCTGTTTATTAATTGATGGGAATTTTGGTATTGTGAATACACTGTTTTGAGCAAAGCATTTCTTTTTTTTTTTTTTTTTTTTTTTTTTTCTTTTATTATTCATATGTGCATACAAGCTTGGTTCATTTCTCCCCCCTGCCCCCACCCCCTCCCTTACCACCCACTCCACCCCTCCCGCCCCCCCTCAATACCCAGCAGAAACTATTTTGCCCTTATCTCTAATTTTGTTGTAGAGAGAGTATAAGCAATAATAGGAAGGAACAAGGGGTTTTGCTGGTTGAGATAAGGATAGCTATACAGGGCATTGACCCACATTGATTTCCTGTGCGTGTGTTACCTTCTAGGTTCATTCTTTTGATCTAACCTTTTCTCTAGTACCTGTCCCCTTTTCCTATTGGCCTCAGTTGCTTTTAAGTATCTGCTTTAGTTTCTCTGTGTTAAGGGCAACAAATGCTAGCTAATTTTTAGGTGTCTTACCTATCCTCACCCCTCCCTTGTGTGCTCTCGCTTTTATCATGTGTTGAGCAAAGCATTTCTACGTGAACATTAGGATTCCTCCGTTTTTGGGGGTCTTGCTATTTACTAGACTGATTGGCTGACCACATTCAGGGTATTCTTTCAATCTGTACGGAAAGTCAGAGTTGTGGACACAAACTCTGTAGTGCAGAAATCGAGTATTGTTTACCAACAATTACACATCCCAAGGTCACAAAACAAAACTGTCACCTGCCATGGATTTCAGGAGATGTATATGAACATGAGGAAAAAAGGCCATTAAGCCACACAGCTCAGGGGCTGCATCCTCTGAAGGGGTGTGCTGTCAGAGGGATAGCAAGAAAAGGGGAGAAAGTGACTTCTCTTGTCAGGACACTTAAAAATCCAAATGTTTTCTGTCATCTGTTCGTTCATGGGTTTGCTGGTGATCTACACCAAACAAGCTGGGTGTAGTGACTCAGACCTGTAATCCCAGCACTCGAGGCTGACACAGGAGTACTGAGAGTTCAAGGTCAGCCTGGGCTATACAGAGAAACCTGAAAAGACATAACAAACAACAAAAAACCATAGACAGGACTCAGAATGACCAGAGTTTCGGGCGTTCACCGGGATGTAAGGTTATATCCCCATGGTTATGGGTAATGACCATTCATCCGGATCCATTGAAAGATTTAATCACAACTGTGGCTTATTTTCTCTGCAGGCTCAAGTTGTGAATTTTCCTGCAATGCAGATAATATAAATGAAGAATTCATTAAAATATTTGGTAAGTCTCCTTCTCCTATGACACTTTTGACTGTATTTAGAGGCATGTGCTTGTCCTTGGTTGTGTCCAGGTCACCTGTCCCTGCTGCTTTGCAGGGAAGGCAAGCCCTTTTTCCTTCCTTCCTTCCTTCCTTCCTCCCTCCCTCCCTTCCTTCCTTCCTTTCTTCCTTCCTTCCACCCTCCCTCAGTCCCTTCCTCCCTCTCTCCCTTCCTCCCTCCCTCCCTTCTTCCTTTTCATGATACTGGGCTTTGAACTCAGGGCCTACACCTTGAGTCAGTTCACCACCTCTTGGTTTGTGATAGATTTTTCAAGATAGGGTCTTGCAAATATTTGCCTGGGCTGTATCCCAACAGTGATTCTCCTGATCTCTGCCACCTGAGTAGCTAGGATTACAGGCAGGAGCCCAGTGAGAAGGCAAGCACTTTGCATTGTAGCTAGAATCAATTCCTGTAATTGTCAGAGTCTCAAAAAATTAAGCAGAACCTGGAGGATAAACACTTGGAAAGAGCCCTGTTCCTCAAAGGGTTTGGGGAGTGGAGGCACAGCCCCATCCTGTTTGGATTTGTCAGGTACCGTGGTGCACTTCCAATAATATGGAATTGTCAGGGTCCTTCTTTCTTTGGTCCTCCTCTGATGTCATAGGGTGGGCATCGCGTTTGATCTTGGTTCTGCCTGTTAGCCCCAGAAGGTGTCCTGACTATAATACAGTGGCCAAGCAGGGCTTTCGGGAGACTGTAAGCACCAGGTTGTTGGTAATGGAATTGATAGATGCACCCAGCATTTGTGGGTAGGGCCACCGGGAATCTTAGTACATTCTGTGTTCACCCTTATCCAGCTTCAGCCCTCTGTGACAGGCCCTAGTTACTCTTGAAGTCTGCCTCAACAATGACCTTTGTTCTGGCTGCAAGGGACCAGCTGGCATTTTTTTTTCCCCTCTGCCTGGCCCAGGGTTTGCTGCTCTTGCGTTAGTGTATCAGGCTGGTCATGTCTGGGTAAACCTGTGCCTCTTACTTCTACCTACATGGCTCAGAGTCTTCAAGGTAGAAATGAAGTGTATCCTGTTCATTCATAGGGCAGTACTCACCCATTATTATGGTTATAATTTTTAAAAGAGAAAAGAATCCAGGTACCAGGGTCTTACATCTGTCATCCTAGCTATTTCGGGTGCTGAGATCAGGAGGAAAGCATTTCCTGGTCAGCAAAGTCAAAAATGTTTATGACACTCCACCTCTCAATGGAAAAAAGCTGGGTGTGTTAGCTGGCACTGGCATGCCAGCAACGTCAGGGAGCTTAAATAGGAGCATTGGAATCCAGGCCAACCTGGGCAAAAAGCAAGACCCTATCCCTACAACAGATCCAAAAGCTAAATGTATATGTAAACAAAAGCATAGTCGCGTAATCGTATGTATTTCAAAATATGGACCCCTAATCGATTGTAACAGATTTGATACAGAAAACCTTTTGACATATGTTTTGCTTTATTTGTACCCCACAACGTTCACGGTTCATCGCGGGGAATGTATCGTAGGGAAAGACACCAGGAAAGAGAGGGAAAATGATGGTACTGGGCACGAAATTAATGAAACCTGGGGCAGAGTTCCAGCCACGTTTCTCAGGTAGACAGTGTTAACTGCACAGGATACCCAGTCCTATTACAGTTTTCAGAAATGAGTTAGGAAGCTGGAGTTTCCCTTAGCAAGACAGGGCATTTCCGAGCATACCATTCTTTTTCCCTTGAACTTGTCACATTTACTGACATGTTTAGAGACCTCTTGAGGTACTTAGAGAGTAAAGTATCTAAGTCCTCTGTGGGGGTGTTAACCAGTCTTTGTTTGCTTCCCTGAAGCCGAGATTGGATATGAGGAGTTTCTCACCAATCCATATCGTAAAGTGGACCACAAAGGAGGAAGAACAGCGCAAGAGATTCAACAGCCAGATGGGAATGAAGGCAAGTAGATAGCAGGATGCTATCATTTTAGCACGTGCAAAGCAGCAACTGGTGGGCAGTACCAATTTGAGATGGAAAGATCTGTCTATAATCCTTTGGCTAAGTTTCTACTCACTATGGATTATGGTCTAAAGTGTGACTATCCATGTGTTTTAGGGTGATCCCTGCTGGGCAGGGTCAGAGAGGCTCTGCCTTTTGGAAGCCATTCAGAAGACAGGAACCTGATTTGAAAGTGGGGCTCACTGTTCCTGGTATCAGAAAGCTAGCAAGCACAATAACTTTCCACTCAATACACATTAAAGTCCCATGGGCATGACGTGGTTTGAGGGAGACATGTGATCATCAATAATTCACTCAGTGTATGATGGGAACAAATGTGACTTGTCATACCGTAGAAATAACAAAAATGAAGAGCATACTCTTCCTCAAAAGCAGCTCCATGTTGTTGCCGAAGAGTATGGAACTAGGACAGGTACATGATCACATGTATTAAAGACAGAATTCTGTATCAGCAACCTGCCATTTGTGGAAAATGTGACCTTTAGCATTGGGGGCTGAGCCTGTGTTGGTAGGATGCACACAGTTGTGCAGTCCAGTTCCCGGGGTCTTTTCCCCTGTCAACTGGCTGGGCTCCTCTGCAATCAGCAGTCAGGTGACACCTCTCTCCTCATTCACCTATTCCCTTTCAAACACATTTCTGTATATACCATTCGACTTACAAATATAAAATGAAACATGAACCCACGATGCTCCTAAGTGTCACTGAAGAAAATCTCTTTCTTCCATGTGTTTTATCAAAGGATTCACTATTTTATGGAATTCGGAAAAACAACAACATTATCTGGAAGCGATGAACAGAATTCTTCAGAATAGTAAGTGGAAATGGATAAAATTGGAGTTGAGGTCTGAGTTCCGAAGCAAATATTTGGCTGCGCCACAGCTCTGGTAGATGGAGTCATACTGTCCAATAGAAAAATTGGCTGTGTGCTGTGGTTGCTTCCCAGAAGCAACACAGAAGGAGTGTATGCATTTCCTGCTCATTTTGAGGACACTGTGATAGCCTGTGAACATCTCCTCCTGTAAAATGTGCAGTCCAGAATGTCTTTTCTTGACAGCCACCCAGATGCCAAGAAGGAGAGGGAGAGTGGCACAGCAGCCAGCCCTCCTTCCACATGTCCCATCTCTTTAGGAGATGGTGGGGCTTATGAGGGGCCAAGCACATTCCTGAGGCTAGCCAGGGAAAGGCTGTCCATCCCCTGAGGAGCATGGGCAGGTGCCAGTGACCAAAGGCTCAAATTACTCATCTTATTGTTGGGGAGGCAGATTGGCCCTGAAGACAGAATAAGCCCCTATTCTAGGAGTCCCAGGAAGCATTTCACCCTTTGAAAAACTGGAAAATAATGTCATTGTCTTAGGAGGCTGGTAGGTAAAATTGTTTCCTGATCCACCTGCATGAGTATTGGGTGGAGGCTGGGGAATGGGAAGAGCTTATTAAAAGTCTTTATTCCTGGAACCCACCAAGGATCTGTCAAAGTGGAAACCACGAATCTGCTCCTTTTCATGTACTCCCTCACTGTCTTTTCTGTAGTGCCCCAGGGACAAGTCCCTGGCATTTGCACGTATTGACTTAGATGATTTGGGGGCTCAGCAACTGCTTCTCAGTGATTAAAAATGTCCCACAGTTCCTGCATACTATTATGGTTGTTGCTAATTGCTTGACCACCTTCAAAGTACAAATGAGCTTATCTTCTGTGTCCCTAGACCTCAAGGACTCAAGTGTGTAATGGTCAAATTAAACTCGGTTTGACACCAATTTCATATTTTTTGTAAAGAAAGAATCTCATTATAAATTCGTTACCACATTTATCTTGATATAGTCAGTGATATTTGGTTTCTAAGACCCTTAAAATTAGAAAAATGTTGAGGTGGTGGTTTGGCTCATGTGCTTGCTTGCCTGCCTTGTAAGTCTTCTCTTTCACTCTCCTCTCCCTCCTTCTTTTCTCTCTCTCTTTCTCTTCCATGCCTCTCTCAATTTGGTGTGGGAGTTTGAGCTCCGAGCTTCATGCTTGCTGGAGAGGCATTCTACAGCCTGAGCCATCACTCTTCCCATTTTTGCTCAGATTTCTTTGGAGCTCGGGGCTGTTGCTTTTAGCCAAAGCAGCCTGGATAGCGATCCTTCTATTTTAGGCATCCACTATTATCTGGGATGACAGGTGCATGACACTGTTCCTAGCTTTGTCCTGTCAAGATGGGGTTCACAATATTTTTCCCCAAACTGGCCAGGAACTGCTATGCGCCCCCCCCTCAATGGAATGGCAGGCATCACCACCATGCCTAGCTTTTGGTTCAGATGGGAGTTTTCAACCTTTGAGCTGGGGTTGGCCTTGAACCTTGTTCCTCCTATTGCCAGCCTCCAGGATTACAGACATGAGCCCTGAGTGTCTGGCTTCGCAGTTTTTTCTATTTCTAGGGAAATTAAAGTAGGAACAAATTCCTGTCTTTTTCCAGGAATAATTAGAACTTAATGACAGTCTAGTCACATTGCAGTGACTTCTCATCTCTTAGTGAAATTGGCCAAAGAGGAGGAATGAACTTGCCCCATCCTGCCCAGCCAGGTCGTGGAGGTCTCCCTCCTAGGGCCTGGGGCTCCAGCCTGGCTTGACGTCTTCTGGGGCTCTGAGGCACATGATTGCTCAGGTTCCACCATGCCTGTTTTGATAACTCTTCTTTCCCTCGGCTACATGGCTCAAATATATCTTTGCAGAGCTCCTACACTGTATCAACTGTCATCCTTTTCCCAGTGCCATTACTTCCTTTGACAAAGAGAGCTCCTGCCTTCGCAGTTCTCTAAGCCAAAGTCACTCAGGTCCTTTTCCAGGTCTCCTGTGCAAATGAGGGAAGGACAGTCAATAGCAGAGCTAGGATGCAATCATTTCTTATATTCACCCTGTCTTTGTTCTTCTAAATCATTCTGTAGTGTCTCTACCCGTAGTATTTCCTCATTGTGTCCTTGAAACTCCAGAACCATGGTCTGTAGCACTTTGTAGTTTAAGCATTGTTTTTAACCCTTATGCCCTCTGCGAACAAATGCTGTCTTTTGTATTTCATATAAGGAGACAGAGACTGGGGTTCAGAGATGGTCAAGGACAGACAGACGTCCCTCAGTAGATCCTCTTATGTGTCACCTCTGAACGGCAGGCCTTTGTTTAACTGTGTTGTGACTTGAATCCAGGGCCTCATGTTTGATAGGCAGGTGCTCTATCACCTGAACTATGCCACCAGCCCTGGTGGGATCTGTTGGGAACAGAGAGGCTTGCACATTCGCAGGCCTACCTAGGCGCACCTAGACCTCCTGAGTTAGAAATTCTGAAGTGGGCCCAGCAATCTGGGCTGTGACAAGCCTTCCCTGTCATCCTGAAGCATTTCCCTTCCAAGAACCACTGACCTAGTCGTGTGTGGCTTAGACACCCAGGAATTTGTTAAATTGACATAATGGAACAAAACCTGATATACTGCCATACATTTAGACTCGTCTCCAAATTCCTCGTTTTTCTTTCATCATGAAAACAGCATTCTTCATGGGCCAATGATAATTTGTCAATGAGTCCATGTTCTCTGACTGTAACACTAATGAAATACGTGAGATAACCATGTTATTAAGAGCAATGCCTCATTTGGGCTCACAGTTTCTGGTGGTTCTAATTTGGGATTGATTGGTCCTATGGTTTTGGGCCTGTGTTGGGCAGCAGGTTTTGTGGTGGAGTGAAAGTGCTAACTTCATGCCTTGGAAGCAAAGGAGAAAAGAGGGGCCCGAGTCCTCTTCTAGGGCATACCCCCAATGATGTGCAGATCTGCCATTAGGCTGCATACCTTAAAGGTACTCATTATAACTTCCAATAGCACCAGCATGGAGACCAATCCTTTAACACATTGGCCTTAGGGAAATTCAAGAGCCAAACTGTAGCAGTGTGTTTCTCCTTGGTCTTTACAGATGATGTTTCGGAGGAGAAGTGGGTTAAAGAAGCGTCTGTTTTCAACAGGAATTTAAGACAGCAATTAAGTGTGGAAGACAAAGAAAAACCTAACGAAGCACTTAATCCAGGTAACAATCCTTTTGGCACAAACCCAGTAAGATCCTCAAGTACAGATGCTACTTTTTCCCTTTTTTCTGTACTGAGGTTTGATCTCAGGACTTCACGCATGCAACGTAGATGTTCTCCCTCTTGAACCAAGCCTCTCCCCAGTGATGCTACTTTTCTGCTGATGGGGTCATTCTGAGCATGGGGATGAGCTCCTCCACTTCTGGGCACTGAGGCTCTCTAACAAGCAGGAGGGATTAAATGGCAAGTGCTAACGTAGTTCCTGATGTGTGGCATCTCTCCCTCCTAATTGAACCACATGAGCTGTTCCCATTCAGAGTGGCTAGAAACTGGCCCATGCTGGTACCAAGTCCTGTGTACCCTCCACATCAGCACTCTGTGCCAAAGGGATAACCGGTTGTAACTCCCTGCCTTTCAGAAATTAAATTCTGGGTTCTTCCTAGCAAGCTCTTAGAACCAATTATCTGCTGCCTCTTGACAGCAGAGATGAAGATTTTGGACATGTCCCTCATTCTCCCCATAACCCAAAAAGGCCCTCGACTAGCATTTTAGTGCCTGTGTCACCAGCTCTACTCAGCATCTCTCTACACCAAACCAGCTGATTCTTGGCATTGTATCTTCATGTCCAGTATCCCTCATGCCTTCTTCTTCACTGTGCACACTGCAAATGGAGTGACCTAAGCTCACGGAGTACCTGACATCACCTGGATCTGTTCTTTTGACATCTAGCTAGGGTTGTCTAAACTCCCCAGTGTATGTTCAGTGCCATTCCAAAGCCAACCTCAGGATTTCTGTAAGAGCTTGGAACCACCTCTAGAATATGTGAGCCTCTGGTGGTCACAGTTAGGAACCAATCAAACAAAACTGTGTTAGTCAGTTTCCATGGCTGTGGCAAATACCAGAGAGAAACAGTTTAAAGAAGGAACCTTAATTTTGGCTCATGGTTTATCCAGGGTCTGTTGGCTGCCTTATCTCTTGGCCTTGGTGAGGCACAACAGCATGGTGGAGGAGTGGAGGGGAACAAAGTTCCTCCCCTCATAGCACCGGGAAGTAGAGAGTTGGAGAATGCCTGGCTGGCTTCCTCATTTTTCCATGTTTATTCCATCAGGCCCGCAGCCTAAGATGGTGCTGCACACTTCAGGGAAAACCTTAAACTCTCAATTTCTGTTCCCATGGTAATTGTCTCTGGAAATGTCCTCACAGACACACCTAGGGGTGGGCTTTACTTGTCTCCCAATGCAGTCAGGATTAAACTCCACATCTCTAGCCATATGTAAACTGTATGCACAGTGGAATTTCTTGAAAACAGTTGGTGCACAGAGGAAGGAGTAGAAGAGAAAAGCTTTGGGTTTTGTATGGTCTTTCCTTTTTGATATTGCTGGGTGTTGAACCCAGATGCTATTGCATGTTAGGCATGTGTTCTAACACTGAGCATCCCCAGTTTTCCCAAACGTCTTTGCAGTAGGACTTTTCACTCTACAGGGCCTCCTTATCACCTGGAAAGTCTCTTCTTTGGTTTGTTGCATCCTCTTTTTGACTACTTAGTGCTTGCCAGCCCATCCCCTCAGCAACTCCCCTATCAGTGGACATGTAATGAATCTATTACCTTAAAGAAAGCCAGGTCCTTCGCTGACAGGACTTCTGTGACCAGTGACTAGCACCAGTGTTCTCATTCCTGCTCTGAGCAGACCCACGAGGTTGTCCTCGCATGTTGTCCTTGTTGCCAGTCATCCAGCAGGGATGCACATGGGGTCACTACTCTGTGAACTCTTCCTGTGTCTTCTCATTTAGATTTCCAAAGAAAGAGTCCGCTGTGCAGGGCGATGCTGCCATTCCTACAGGAGAACATCCTCATCGCTGCCATCATGATGACGGCAATCTTTGTGATGATTGTGCTGGTGCTGCTCTTCTCTTCATACACGAGGAGGAAACAGGCATTGTGAGTGGCTCTTTGCATTCACCTCCCTTCTAAGACCTTCTAGTTGTTTGGACCAATGTTGTCTGAGACCTTTCTGCAGATCCCAGATTTAGGAAGAGGGCACAGGGATCTCTTAAGTGTGATTGTGTTTCATCACCACCCAGTGTGCTCCTTTTCTTCTGAGCAATGTTTTTCAGGCACTGTCTGGTGATTTTGTTGCACACCCAGCTTTGGGGATCCCTTGCCTGGGCTAAGGTGAGAGCAGGGCTGAAATTCAGTTTGTTCTCACTAGTCAGCTGCACTGGTTGTTAGCGTACAGAAGCTTGGCCCTACTGATTGGTAATCAGCCACTTCCTAGAATACGCCACTCACTTCCCCGTGATGCTGTATGTGAAGGGCTAGTGCCTGGGCCACTAGAGGCCATGAGAGGCAAGGTTCCAAGAGTGGTCACGTTGTTCCACTCATTTACTATTCTGATTATCTTTCTGGACAGCCAGGTCCAGAATAGAATGGGAAACTTGAGTGGCACTAAGAAGGAAGTAGTGTACAGATCATGCCTGTGCAAAGTTGCCATTGTGAGACTCATCCTGCATCCTTGGAAACACACATTGCTGATCACAGAGTTCTAGCAGCTACCTCCAGACCCTTAAGGTTCTGCCCAGCCTTGTGTTGGGTGCTCAGCTTCTGTGCAGAAAAGGGGATGAGATGTGTGGTTAAGGGCAAAGTGTCCATCTCTGAATAGACACTCTGAAGCTGCAGTATAATAATTTCTCCATAGAACATCATTAGTTTTTTTAAATGCTGTGCCCTTACCGGCATTCAGGTCAGATACCACTATGTCACTGATTCAGGAATGGGGCCCCTGTGGCCATGTGGGATTGGATTTGGTAGAAGCTGAGATAGAGGATTTAATAGGTCCTGAAAATAAGCTGGGCCCACTTTTCAACTCTGACCAGGGCTCATCCATTCGGGCCTCCATTCTCTTTCCACGTAATTTAAGGTATCGAATAAATGGTCAGGATGATGGCTGTACCCCAAAGAGTTGTATCAAAGCTGTGGATGGCCTGAGATAGTTATGAGAAGGAGAGGGAGGGAGGGAGGGAGAAATTTCCCAGAGGCATTGCGTTGTCTAGAGGCAAAATCAATTTCGTACGTGGCAGCATGGTTTTTGTTGTTTTGTTTTAGATATTCCCCAACAAACATGAATTACAGCCATTATCCACTGAAAGAAAAGAATTGGTGGCAAAAGTGTGACGACCAAAATCTGAGAGAATTGACAGAAAATCTAAGAATCTATTGCCGGATCCAGGGAGCAGCCAATCCAGAAGTTTAAAAAGTGATGCCCTGGAGAGATAATTCACTTTGTGGTTATCACGTGTTCCTTAAAATGTTTCCCCACTTTTCCCAATGTAGAATGGTCCAAGAACAAGAGCATTGCCAATTATGGTAATGGCACTCCAGAGTGGTACATGAACGTTATATTAACCCCATTGAAGCCAAACAGTTGATTGATTTATAGAGTTAATAAAGCACTCGTTGGTTTATTCAGTCATTCATTTCACAGACAGTAATCAAAAACCTGATATGTAGACACATCAAAATAGAATGAGACATCCAAAGATGTGTCAGGCATGGATTCTGCCCCTTGTAAGATCACAGTGGAGGAGTGAGAAGAGAATATGAATGTAGCACATACCGTTCTCAATTTGTAATATGTGGAGCATTACATGAAGAAAGTGGTGAGTGTTGTGCGAGGTGATGAGGGGGAGGGAGTCCCCCCCCCATGAGCTTGAGCAATCAGGATGGTTAAAACAGGAGAAGGAAATGTGGTAATTGAGAATGTAATGAAGGGGGGTTGTTTATGAAGGTGTGAGCAGTATTAGGGGAAGCCAAGGAAGAAAGTTGAAGTTCCCTGCCATATGCAAGTATATGAAGCAGTTCTGATTAGTGGAGGCGCAGTATCAAAGACCAAGGGGCCTGGGGATTAGCTCATTGGCCAAGCACCTGCAAAGCATGCATTTGGCTCTGGACTCAATCCTCTTCTCTGAGTAAAGAAAGAAAGTTGAAAGAAGAAAATCACAAGGAAATCAAGAGAGACCTTCTGACAGGATGGACCCATCTGGGAAGGGGTAAAGGACATCTTAACAACCCAACAGGAAATCAGCAGAGTCAACACTCTGGTGATCCTCCCCTTGAATCTCTTACAAGGGGCTTTTTTTTTTTGTTTCCAGAGTGATCCAAGGGGCTTTTTTCTGTGTGGCATGGGGATGTTGAACTTAGGGCCTTATGGTTGGTAAGGAAGTTCTCCACCATCTCAGGTACTCCACCAGCCTTGTCTAGAGTTGGTTATTTCTGACATAAGGTCTCTCATTATGGTGGGGCCGGCCAGGACCGTGATCCACCCATGTATGCTTCCCTGAATAGGATGACAGGCACATGTCACCATTCATCGTCATTAGTTGAGGAGGGGCCTTCAAATTTTTTCCCCAGCAAGTCTGAAAGGTATGATCCTCCAGATGGTCACTTCCCAAGTAATGAGGATTAGAGATTTGCCCAAATGTCCTGGCCTCTACCAAAGGCTAATTGGGCAAATCTAAGAAGCAGCTAGAAGGTAAGAAAGTCTTTGGTGCAATTCATCAGCAGGTGGAGAAGAGCACAGGTTGGAAGGAGGGAAAGCCAAAAATACCCAGCACAGTTATCATGCTGACCAATATGCATCCATTTTTGTCCTTTTATAAATGAAAATTCCCAATTCCATGTCCTGAATCCCACAAGTGACAGAGAAAGTCCCAAGAGCTATATGCCCTCAAGGGGTGATGTTGGTGCAACCTTACACACCCCCGAAACTTGAATCACTCACCAGTATATGGTCTCCTTATAAGGAACTGGGAGAGAAAAATAAGGGACAAGGCAGCATAAGACACAGGTGCTGTGGTGTCTGGTCATGAGGCTTAAGTTAGTAGTCATGGCTTGTGCCTTCATATACCCACTCATGTGACTCTTTCTGGCACCTTGGCCATAGGGCTTCATTTCCTGGGAGAAGATTCTAAACAACTGTGCCTATAGATCCTTGGTGGGTCTTTCTTTTGGGGTTGGTGGAGTTTTTTGCTGACAAGGATCTTTGTGAATCTGTCCCCCTAGTGATTCTCTGGGCTCTAGATCTGGACCTCATACTGTGTTCTTTGACCTTCAGCTGAATGTCCCCTGGTGAGTGGGATCAATCACTCCAGCCACTACTGTGACCTGTTACTCTGCCCAGTGTTTGAGTTAGGTGAGGGTCTCCAAATGACTAGAAACAGTTTCATCTGGGAATTTAATGGAATCAAGACTTTGTGAAGCTCCAGTGACCTAATAACCTGCCATTTGGCCTCACCTCTTAAAGTTTCCACCACTGCAAACTGTCTCGTTGGGGACCTATGAAACTTTGAGGGGCATTCCATCCATATTCCAACCACAGCAATAATGTCCACACTGCTAGTCACCAGGTGATGGTTGAGGAAAGGGCTTATGTCGATGAGCCTGTTTCTATCACTGTGGCTCCCTAGTATATAGTAAGTGCTTTGGTAACCATTTATGTCTGCATAAATATCCTCACACTTTATGCACTCTGAGATGCCTATTGCATTTTTTTCCCCAACCGTCTTGGCACCAATTTTCCAATTCTGTTCTTTCTAATCCCTACCTTCTTGCTAACCCACAATCCACTGGCCACAAATTAGAGTAGAGCAGAGGTTCTCTGTGGAAATTGGTGATATCTGGAGACATTTTTGGTTGTGACACTTGTGTGTGGATGTTCTGGGGTCTCATGGAAAGAGGCCAAGGATACTGTTATACACGGTACAATGCATGGGGTGTTTTCCCAACCCCAGGAGGGGATGATAAAGATTTATCAAGTTGAAAGTGTCAGTAGTGCTGAACTATGATCCTGATATAGATCTGTACCTCTACAGATACACTGAGATGTCCCTTCATCACTGTCACTCAAGGGTCTCCTGAGCATGCCTGTTCTGTGACTGGTCCATTCCAGGTGGGGCCTGCATGTTTAAGGATGGGAATCAGTCTGAGAAGTGCATCACTGATGACTTCTTTATGTGAACATCACAGAGTATACATACTGAAGCCATGTTAGATGTGACTTCAATAGGTGAGGTAATCTTAGGGAACAGTTTCAGATACTGCAGTCCATTATGTCATGGTGCAGCCTGTGACTGTACATCACGAACAGTGTTCACGGACTGGCGTATGATTTAGGGCATCAGATAATGCCCAATTTAGGTTGTTTGGGCAATGAGGGTGGCTAAGTCACTTAGTATCCTGTGGTCTGTTGTACAGTCCCCTTTAAATTCAGTCACAAGCCAGCAGACCTGCTTTGCAAATGGAGAGACCATGTCTGCAGAAGACAGGCTCCAAACTCTAGGTTTCATGATGCAATTCTCTTTGAGGCTCAGCAAAAGATCTGTATTGCTTCTCTTTTCCATAAATGCTCCTCGTATGATTGGGTCTGATGGGTTACACACATTGGGTGGGTCCTATGGGCAAAAAGCATGGCAAGAAGAAATAAGGAAATAGAGTCGTGGCATGGCCCAAAGGCAAGGGGCATTTCTCTGATACTTTGATCCAGATGGCAGGTAGGATTGGACTGGGCCCTGGCCACTCAGGAGTTGGGGAATGTATTTAGGGAATCAAGGGTGGTGGGCAGTGATGGGGTAGACCCTGGCTGAGCAGTGGCCTCTTGTGGTTGTGGTCACTATGTTTGCAGTGTGTGTGGGCAGCTGATGGGGCTGTGGGTAATTCCTAATGTATGTATGGGGCTTTGGAGTTTAGTGGGAGCCTCAGAAAAGGCTGGGGAAGCGTGGATGGGTAACTCAGAGGTGGCTAACCAGGGTATGGAGGGCTGTGTACCAGCAAATGCAAGGCAGCCCCAGAAGGCTATGTGTCAAGCAAGAAGACACCATCACCAGAAAAGCTGTTTCCACCAAACCTGACCATTGAGTTCAAAACCTCCCTGTTAGTGGTATTGACCTTTGATTTTTCTGCAGACACCTGTGGCCTGATGTGTTGGACACAGGGTGGCCCTGTCAGGTCCCAAACTGGTATCTTGGAGAGCCAGAATCTCAGTCTAGATTCCAATCGTGTTCTCAAGCCTCCTCTGACCAATTAAGATAGTTGTGCATTCTAGGCACCTCTGCCATGCTGGCCCCTGGGAGGATTCAGGCCCCTTCCTGCTCCTTCTGCTACCACTGCCTTGGGTGGGTGCCTCTGGGAAGCCCTGAGTCCCATAGTCTGCCACCCTGGTTCTGTGGCTGTCTCCCTATGTGAATTCACACCCACTTAAATTCAACCCCACATGCTTAAAGACACACAGAGAGGCTGACCACACCCCCATATTTCCAATACCATTACTGCACACAGATGCTCACACACAAGCAGACACATGTATGTACTGTCCCCTGAACGTACTCTGACACCCGTTCAAACACACAAACGTGCATTTGTGTCACACCCAAAGAATTGCATACTGTCACAGCACCCACACTTGATTGTCTGACTCATCATGACTTCCCACCCAGCACCACCAGAAGCAGACACAAGGTGAAAGCCCAGAACATCTTTACTACCCCATGGCAAAAGGCTCAGGTAGGGACTTCCTGAAGAGCCTGCAGGATTACAAAAAGCTGCTGACCAGGCTTGAACTGAAGCCCTGCCTTCTGCTATGGCCTGACTGCCCAGGCTTGTTGCCAAGTGCTGGGGGCATGAGAGGGAGAGATGAGTGGGAATCGAGTGAGAGAGGCTGCAAGAGGAGAAGGAATGAGGTGAGGGCTAGGGTGGGGGGTAGAAAAACAGGGGAGGGGTGAGAAGGGAGTCAGAACAGAGCCGGGGATGAGGTGAGGGAGGAGTAAGGAAGACCTGGGTGGGGAGGTCAGGGATGGGGTGAAGGGAACCTGGTGGTTTTGGGGAGGAGTTGAACAGAAGAGAGGCCGGGGAGGAGGACGAGGGCATGGCATATAGCAGGGCAAGGGGCGAGTTTGGGGGAGGATGGGAAGAGTAACCAACTGGGGAATGGGTGACATCGTTGAAGGTTGGTTAGGGCAGAGCCCACTCCCTGGCCATCACCAGAAGCATCAGCAACAGCTGTTATTTATTGAGCTGTGGTTTCTACTGGAGCAGGACTGATTCAGTTCTCTTGTACCAAACGCAATGTCTCACCCTCTTGGATCTATGTGGTGGGGGCTGACGTGCTTCTTTCCTTGTTTGGTGAGCATAGCCTTCCCCATTTCACAGAAAATGGAGGGGAAGTTACACATGCCCTGTTAACCCACAGTCTCTGAGAACTTGGGCAGGGCATGTGGTCAAAGAGAGGACAGGTGGATACTGGGGTGTAACCATTCCCACTGGATGTCTGTCCACCTCAGATTCTTTACTCAGGCATGGCCCCTGGGGAATGGAGCCCAACTGGACGCTGTTACTGGTCCTTCCTTGGCCTGCTCTGAGCCTCAGCTTCCTCATCTTGACAAATGTGGCAATAATTCACCCCCTTTGCAGGGCTATTGGGTGGTTCTTTCATCAGCAATCATTTATTGAGCACCTGCTACATGCTAGGCACTGTGTTGTGCTGAGTGCTCAGAGTACCCAAAACAAATGTTGGAACAGTTGTCAGTAGGTGCTGGGGTCTTGAGCTTGTGATCAGAGGTATCTGCAGGGGGTGTACACCTCCAATACTACAAATATTTGAAGACCCACCACAAATATTAGATTCTTCTGTGGGCTGTTAATAGTTTCCACATGCAACCTCACCCTACTCATTCCAACATTTTGGGCCCTGTCTCTGAGAGGGAGCTAACCCTCTATTGGCCTCCTACCTGTAGCTAGGCTTCCACTTGATGAACTAGTCAAGCTATGCTGCCTTAAGCCTCTGCTACCTCCCCCCACCCCCCAACATGCCTTTCCTGTGAGCCTTTTGGAGTCTGCAGCAGCTGGTGCTTTCTGCACCAAAGAGGTGGCTCCTTCTGCTTTGTCTGTCTGGCCTCCCCTTGGTGGCTGGTCTATCCACCTTGTCCCTAGATTGGTGAGGGTAACCACCAGGGAGCATTGGATATTCCAGATTCAAGGCCTGTGGGAGGCCTGTATTCCTGTTGCACCTGTTCTGCCACTTCCTAGCTGTGAAATCTTAAGCCTTGGTTTCCTCTTGGCCTCAGTTTTGTGTTCACAAAATGGGACAAGCCTACTTGGTGGGCTTCGAGGGCTGGTCCTTACTGCAGTGTTCATAGCAGGTCCCTAGTACCTAGAATAGGGCCATGCATGGAGTAGATGCTTGCTGGGGTCAGCCAACATCTAATAGTGCTCCATATCTAGGAATAAATTAATTTTAACTGTTACGATTATTCTGTAACATGTTGTCACTTTGCTTGCCCAGCACCCTCTCCTCCCTGCAGCCACTCATTCCTAACCTGCCTTAGACCACTCCCTCATCCATCTATCTACTGGCCTCAGGGAGATTGGACATGTGATCTATTCAGTCAACAAGCTGTGTTGGGTGTTAGCTGGGAATACAGGGAAAGGTTCTTATTCTTTGCCTGGGGTTTGAGCCTGACTCTCTGTCTTGAGAGACAGGAGAAAACTTGACTCCTAGAGAAGCTAATATTTGAGCCCAGGGCAAGCTGTTCCTGGAGCTCACACCTAGAATTTTCATCCATCCATACAAATAGTTATTGAACACTTTCTTTGCCAGGTGCCACTCTAATTAGTGGGGACAGAACGGGGGAAGACGGTCCCCACCTCACAGACACCACAGTCCAGTCTGCTTCACTTTGTGCCTGCTTTTCCTCGCCCTGTACTTCCTTTCCCCCAATACCTGCTCGGCTCCCTCCTTTGTTCTCCCTTGTACCTGTTATGAGTCAGGATGAGATATAACCACCCACGAAAGACGTTAAGGGAGAGTCTTTATTAGCCAGCTCTGGCCAACAGGTCGCTGGTACTCAGAGCAGCCCCTCTCTAACCTTTTGCAGGGTTTATAAAGGCAAAAACTACATCCTGTCTGGCAATCTTTGCAAAGCAAGCTAGCCTAGGTACAGAAGCGAGACAATAGCTGTTAGCTAAGGTACAGAAGTGAGACAATGGCTGCTATCTATAAACGTGAGTGAACACAATCAACACACTCCACACAATCATTTGACCGTATACTAGTTTGGTTCCTTCTGTTCTTCTAATTTTATGGGAACCAGACCCCCTCATAAACCTCCTTCAGCTTTGAAGCTAACATGGCACCTGATTAATGGCTTCCCTCTGGACACCTGATTAATGGCTTCCCTCTGGCTAAGTCTTTTAACCATTTCCTACCTCCTTCACATATTGACTCACAGGATCTCACCTCAGTGAGTCGTGCCCTGGCCCTTCTGTGGCAAATACAAGCCCACAGATGTCTCCTTTCATTTCCCGAAGTATTCTCCTCCTCACCACTTGCTCTATTCTGTGAAACACTTCCTTTCCTGAGACTGTCACCTCACGAGAATGACAGCTCCATGAGGGAAGGATTTTCATTTCTGTTTACAGCAGTTTCCTGGTACCAAGAATGGGACCAGGCATGGACGAGATGCTCACTATTAGATAAATAGTGAGCCCCCAAATTGCCCTCTAAGTTTTGACAGTACCATGGTGATTTGAAGGTTGCAGAAGGAGCCAACACTTTGAGAAACCTCTAGGGGTGGGCACAGCATGTGACCAGTGTGGACAATCAATTCTCTTTAGGGCTGAATCAGCTCGGGATAATTTTTTATTTGAGGGAAGGTGTTGGTCACTTTCAATTTTCAGAGCTTTCTGAGTTGCACTTGGTAGTCTGCAGTACTGCAGAGTTGCCCCTGGATGGTGCAGGGAATACCATGAGCGCCCTTGGACTTGCAGTTACTAGCACACTGCAGAAATTGGGGAATCAGGGACCATGTTGTTGTGATGATAATGATGGCAGTCAGCCCCGTGAAGTAGGTACTGTTGTCACCCCTGTTTCCCAAAT